CATGGTGGATGGCGTGTCTCGTTGTCATTTTAGCTGACTCCCATGAAGAATGCAATTTTCCATGGCAAAAATACCACTTCACTATGCTACGGAAGTGTCAAGTGGAAGACAGTCAGTCATGATGGAAGAGAAATTACAGCATAACAAAAGACATGACCTCAATTAATCCTATAGAAATTATACCGAAATATCTAAAATTGAGTAAGTAGATAAACGAAAACATAATCGTTATTACTTCCAACGATGCACTTAGATTACTTGACAACGTGGAGTTTATCACCAGCCACTGACAGTACATTTGTTCCTATTCAGTACCAACAATCCGTAAAATGCCAACGAAAATCGATTTTTCTGCAGTCATACGGTAGAAATGGAAGCCATAAGCGTGTTCAACACTAAGTCTTTTCTCTACATATTATATTTAACAGACAAACCAACACTACCCCTGAACATACACAAAATTTTAGCCTATTTACAGTGGATTTTTTGGACAAACAGCACTTCTTGGATTTTTTTAGTCGGAACTCATTTATCAATATCGCTTTACAGAAGTTTCACATAATCGCTGTTTTTAATTAGTGATGATAACCCTAATTCAAACCGAGGACAGTGTAGACTCCATAAAAAATCAACTTGGGTCCTTATAAAAAGTTCGAGAAGACGAACAATCAAAACTTAGGTCTGTTTTAGAACTTATGGGCAGAGTTATATGCAAAAGATTTTAATAGATATATTGTATGGGATTTTCTTACGCCGCACAAGTCTTCTTCACATGAACTAGAGTTTGTTAGTTGTTTTCTGATTGACTGAAAGCTGGTTGAAATTATGTTGAGATTTCAGCAGCTTAAAGATCCCCATAAAATATTCAAAAATGATCAATATTTGAGCGAACAATTGTACTCAATAACTTCATCATCAGGCTCTATAGTTATGTCCATAATTATGATATTTTACAAGAGCCAAAATGAGGCATGTATTAATGGATTTGACAATGTTATATATTAAAAATATAACATTTTGGCCCTTGTAAAATATTATAATTATGGACTTATAACTGTAGAGCCTGATGATGAAGTTGTTGAGAACAATTGTTAGCTCAAATATTGTTCATTATGTTGCGATTGTTTTAGGCTTTTTTCCACGTTTTACCTTTGCCGCTGCTTTTTGTCTAGTTGTCTTCTCTGTTTTGTAGTACCTTTATTTTCAACGCTTAGACATTTTGTTAATGCCTTGAGAGCTATTAAGACGTAAACTATTTTTGGCTTGACTGTATCATAGTCTTATTTCATATCAGCTTGAAAATTTCACTGAAAGCTTTAATAATACACACTATGTTTGTCACGCTAAATAAATATATCCCCAATTCTAGCATGCTTAGAATTCATTGTTGTGTTAACCTTACTGATCTCTCTTAATAGTTCTACTAGTTGACTGAAAAATATGTTCCCATAAACTTTTGCAAATGACTCTTCGCTTTATGCTATCTGGTTCAAATCAATAAGAGCGTTTGGGTCACTAAACGTTGAGCAGTAATATAGAACAACCTTTGTAGTCAGGCTTATAGAGATACCGTTAACAAGGTTACCGGATTAATTTTAATGAGGAACGAGCAACTAAGCAGTCAATTAGTTTCTAGTCTACTTGAAACTGATGTCAATTTAGTTGTCTAGCTTATCTGTATTTAAAGATTTTACTTCACGCAACAGCAAGATAGGACTTTATTGAAAGAAATTTCATATAATTGATGTCGTGCTACTATTAACAATGCAATTAGCTACACCTAGGCAAATTAATGATATGATATTTCACTTTACGCTTATTGAAGTCTTTAGCCGATAGCTTTTGGGAATGTTGGGGGGAATGTTGGGGAATGTTTACTGCTGAATATCACATCAATCCTTCAAATAGCATCTTAACATTTTCCGCTGTAATTCGATCAGAGAGAAAAATACCACCGTTACATATTTATTAAGATGGATTTCGATTTCGGCTGCACTATATCATTGATAAATATAGTTGCAATTTAAGGAAAATATCGATTTAATTGTATTGTAGATTGTCCAATATAGTCAATTTTATTAGGTTTAGAAAACGAGCAAATTGATTTGGAAGTAATACAAAACGAATAATTATTTCAAATTAGTAAGCACAACATTCCAATAAGCAAGCATTACTGAACGAAAGCATGCTGTTTGATTGTACGAAAACGACTTCTATGGAATGTCGACGATAGAGTGGTTAACACGTTTAAAAGTTATGAAGATCTTTCACATACGTACGCAAGTATATGTGGCCGTGTAGTGTTGAACAAGTTATTAGAACCATCCATCACTGAGCAGCGATTTTCAAAAATCTAACCCAAAAGAATGTATAAGCAGATTGATACAGATAATCGATCTACTACTAACTCAGATAACCTGAATACACTCAATGGAATAGTAGTAGAACTTGGAATTAAAAAGACTATCAGTAATTTCAAAACCTCATCTGCCTGTTAGCGGATTACGATTTGACGAAAAAGATTCTGAACATCCAAGCAGTAGTTATCGGTCGTGATTTGTAGCACTTCTCTGAGTAATAACCAGCAAAACAGGTTGTGGCTCTGTATAGTGGTATGCTCGTCTGACCACACTATCTTTTGATCCACGGAACTAAGTTGGTAAATTAAGTTATTATTCTAATTTACGCGCCCACAGACGTTTTTTAGTCCATTGACAAAGGAAAGAAGAATGACTGGCGCTACCACTTCAATGAGATATTTTTGTATCAAATGTAGGTTGACCGTTCAAAACTGTACAGCAGTATAATTCAAATCTCCATAAAATAATGATAGATATCGTCGACTTTCAGCTGGATGAGATTATAAATGTAATGGGGCAGAATAGCACAATTCAAAAATTCATTAAACCCACCAATAACTAACACGACAACTTTGCAAAGGTTTAGGGTCCAAAAATTAAATAATCCTATGGATAAACTGGGTGATAAAGCTACTCATTATTCTAAACTAGAGAATTATGTTTAGGAAACTTAGTTAGCTTCCTACTCGTTTTTAACCAATTTGGGGATTGGAGGATGTCAGAGTACCATCCACTAAGATGTACAATTCTTAATATTGATGTAAGACCGATTTCGCCCTTCAACCTTGGAATTCAGGCCTAAACAAAGAATTATAATAATTTGAAACGGGACTTAAGGGCTTAAACTGTAGTGCAACAGAGAAGATAAGACTATGAATAATAACGCCATCAGGGATGACTCTTACGACATCATCTCATTTATCTCAAAAAGAGACTAAAGAATATGTTGATGGAAACGTAAAAGGATAAAACAAGTGGAAGCAGATACGTATTATGTTGCGGAACACCCTATGACGATTTTGTGCATGCAAGATAATGACACTTGAAATAACGGATGCTTTTTAAGCATTGCTCACAAATGGTGTGAAAACGGAGTGAGTATTCCTGAGGTCAGGCACAGCAGACTAAGCAGAAAAGATAAATCGGCTGAGAATCAACATCAGCTCTATTTGCAATGATAGATCCTTGGTTAATTTTTTTTTAAATGTGTAAAGTTTATTAGAACTGTCATCCATCCCACCAACCCTTCATGTGCCACGACTGCTACCATAGAAGTAGGCTGGAAAACATTAGAAGCCTCAAGAATAGGACATGAAGTCAGTCCACAAAAGCACTAAATATAGGGATATGCATAATTTATTCCCCAGGTCCGAAAGATAAACGTAATATTTGGTCAGAACAGTCAAGTAACGGGGCCTGGGATCGACCACTCTAGGGTATATATATTCACCAGTCTAAGAAATGTATTAGGATCTTGCACCATTTTTATTGTTCACTTTCAGTTCAACCACTTCGTTTGTCACTTAAAAACTGCATCCTCTGTAATCAATTTCAAACTAATAATACTAATACTAGTTCCATTGCTTTCACTTATTTTGTTAATTTCCTTACCATGAGTTGATGTTGTGATAAATTAGCCTTGGCTAAGAAACGTGTTACGTATGCCCAACCACCGACTGCCCCGACGTGCAATGTTTTATGGTATAGGAATAGGTTGGAAGAATTCTAGGGGCGGCCAGACCAAAACATGGCACAAATCCATGAGGTCAGTGACAATTGGACTGAGCCGTGCTGGTAGGTGTAGACTACCTGGTTGGGATCCGCGAGATGATAGTAACCGATGGTTAGAGACCTTTAGTGACATGGCTCAAAATCTTTTGCAATGGCGGAGGTGCACCCACTCTGTGTTCTACCAAATTCTAATCTTCTGAATTCCTTATGTCTCTATCCCTTTTCTCTTTCCAAATTTATTTCACTGGATTATTCTCCTTGAATAACATCTTCAAACCCTAATCTTTCACATTACTGCTTATAGTCTTACTACTTCTACCACTATGGGACTTGAATCGACAACTGCATCTCTGTTCTAATGTGGTATGGCAACCCGGATTGATGTACGTACGTACGAAGCTCTACGTTTTGACTGATAAATTGGTCTGGTAGGTTATTCAGGTTCTTCTATTTTCCTTCTTCATCTCTATGATCCTGTGATTTAAGCACCAGACGAACACAGCTAGATTAATAATAAAAGTAATGTAGCTCAGTAGCTGCATGCACTAAACTACGAACAATATCTAAAGAGTGAAGATTAGTGATAAAGTCCAGAGGTCAAGAGAGAATACAAAACCTTATGTCCAAATCGCGAAAAATAGTAAAAGTAGAGTAGGGAATTATGTGCTCCATAAATGCAGTACTACTTAGACAAGAATATTTATTGTAATAACTACCGGCAAACTCTAGATATTCACAAAAAATGAGTATTCATTAGTGAGTACCAGATAGGCGTTTTTTACCTATAACTATCATATATATATATCATGAATACAAATCGAAAGATACTTACGAAACTAGATCAGTTAACTTAGTCAAGAAACGTAAACATAATGTTCGTATCCCCACTGAATAGCAAAAAGAAGTGGTGACTAAATGACTTAATCATTATTTTTAAAAATTACGTTTGTACAACAGTAATTACATAGAAAATCTTGTTTATGCTTTTTTACATGTATCAAGTTACGAGTAGATGCATAGACCCTTAAGCAACTAGTTACCACTGATCTGCCACAGGAAAATCGAATTTGCAACTTCAGCACCAATCACACTGTAATACAACCTGTGTTGTCAATTTCATACCGAACTGTCCCGTCTATTTTTTAAAACTTAATTCCGAAACAGTGAGAAAGCAAATATGTACAACTAGTTAATTTTTAGCGATAGTCTTAGATTAAACAAAATGTAGTATAAAAGCCACTGAAAAGCTTTCTCTTATAGTAGGCTCCAAACGATGTAACAAAGAAATTGTGGCTGTTTGTTTTCGATCATTAGGAGTACCAACAAAAACAGATAGTTTACAACCCAAATAAGAGGAGTATACTAGTTTCCCTTGTAAACGATTGAGCCGTTACAAATATAAAACTTGTATATAGGGAAAAACAGACCTAACCTAGAAAAGTACTGGTATGACCCATTTGAAGATAACAATGAGGTTTACGTACCAATCCTGCAACAGACACAGTCATCATTTAAACAACTTGAGAACGCCTACTAACAAATGATGACATTAAAGGTAGAGTAACCAAGCTGAACATCACGAAACACAATACGGCTTGTTGTAATCGAATCTCATTGTTCCTACGATATGATATGCTAGTCCCTGTTTACATTCAGATAAAATAAACTAAATTGGTTTCGGTTTATGCAAATAAGGTGACGTACAGAATCCCGATGATAATCATTTACAAGTAGTATGGGTGCATGTCAATCTAATTACGGAGTACTGTCATTGAAGTAATAATATTATCTAATCCATAATCAAGAATGTAATTAACTTCTTTGGACTTAACGAAAACCAATCAAGTTTTCCATAATTATACCGTACTTCCTTGACTTACTAACGCACCAGCTGTGACGCAACTCTAGTTATTGAAAATGAAAATTGGACAAACTACTTCACACACTACTGCTAAAACAGACGTTGTAAGGACGTCTTGGAGAAAGTCGGTCGATTGGAAGTCCAAGCACGATGTTTAGAAGAATGCGTTACACCGACAAGAGTCTGCGGGGGATTTAAGTAATTCAGATAAAACCCCGAAAGGTCGAAGGCAATTACCTCGAATGAACGTCAATCAAAACGTTGAAATATGCAGACAATTAGCAATACTGACGACAGATTGATCGTGCGAACAATGCAGATCTTCGGAGGATATTTCATCAATTTAAAGTGCCGTTTTTCTGTACACACAAAAAATTTATAAAAGAAACGAAAACGCAAAATGAACCAAAGAAAGGCAAGCAGTAGTGATGAGTAAATCTACAAATAGTTATGCTAAGACCTTAGAGTGGTATCACAGATTTACTAGCGCCACTGCCATCGACTTCTGGTCAAATCGTTTAATAGTCTCAATTACACAACCATCTTCAGTCACCAAGACTATGGTTCTCAAAAGCGAATAATATTGACACATCCGTAAACTAGTGGCATCTAACTATATCACCAGTAAAGCCCTTAACCCATACATATGAAGCCCCAGCTGTAATTGGAAAATACATCCTCCAGGACTTCCAGTCCCAAGTCATTTACAACACTTTATCAAATACTGCACCTGAAACGAGGATGGGTTAATTAACATGTAAATAACAGGATAAATGACATTTAAAAGACATTAACTAATAACTGGAAACAGACCTTTCATTTTGTTTTTACTTAAAGGTCGTTTCGAAACCATTTAATGAAAGAGGACGCTGCCATGGTACTTAAGACGCCGAATGTGGAAATTTTCGTATAGTATGTCAAACTGATACATCAAGATAAAAATGCTTCAACATTTGTATCTGGAATTTTGTATGATACTCAAGTATACACGCGTTAGCAATAATAATAAATGTGCACAGTCACCGGTATTTGAAAAGACTTTTTTCATTATACCTCACTAACTCCAGGTCGAGACACATGAGTAGGTTGTTGTCCCGACATTTACTCTGTAATTTATGAAATGGCGAATAGATTACACAAAATATTCAGGGCTGATGTTAAGGGATTACAGATTGTCTAGAGTGAGATCAAGTGGTAAGCGAAAAAATTGCATATTTTATAAACAAAACAAGTTGACATGTGGTGAACTAAGACATGAGTGACATGAAGTGGCGTTTTACTGGTTTGCTGCAATAATGAGTAATAAGATCTAGCCACGTTTAACAAAATGTCTGATTCGGTGAAATAAATTGTTTCACTCGGAACCTAAAGCTGACACTTTATACTGAAGATGAGTGTTGCAGACAGTTCGCTATAAGCTCTAACTCGACCAAAAATGTCTGAGTAAAAGAACCGATGTGTTTACATACTTGCTAGTAACTATTCTAATGACAAACACCGTCACAAGACTTTGAAGTAGACAATACCTGTGTCGTTATTCCAGTGTTTCAGAAGCAACCGAAAGGTACAACTTCAGGCTCTAATTAATATCACAGCTTCTTTAAATGAAAACGTTCGGCCACCTTAATACGGATCTCTGCAGTTGACCTGTCAAGTCATGGTCTCTCTAGGTTTGAGTTAGTTACGGTCTTTTCAAACAAGATGAGTGTGAGAGTACATTACCTACTCACACACAAAAATAAAGAATAACTAGTTAGCAGCTTGGGGTCAGCAGAACTGTTCATGTTTTCCTCATGATTATCATGGTTTGAAGGTAGACTATGGGTAACTACTTGCAGAAATGATTTCGATAACTGTTCACTTTATAACTCACCTATGTAGTCGATTTAACAACTTATTTTGTTATCGATCACTTTTTCTTTCCTTATGATATTGACTTTCGCCACGTCTTTATTAACGACTACTGAGAAATCGTTATCAATGGTTGAACAAACCTCTCCATTCGTTATCATGGTCGGAGGATGTCGAAATAAGTTTCTGAGCATCTATTAATTGCGCCGAGCTCCGAGATACATCATTTTTTCGTAACCTGTCGCTTCAAATAACCAGATGTCAATGTTATGCTTATAGATGTTCACATATCATACTCCGCCTCAAGGTTCTGACTAGTTCTTTAAATATATTATTGGGGTCTCCATATTAGATAGGTGATCTAAAAGGGATCCCTACTATAGACTTTTCGAATTGAGCAAGATGCACCCCAATTAAATATTACACTAGATAATTATTGAAATTTCAAGGGGTATACCCCAGAATGAAAGAGTCTCCAAATCAACGTCTTCGACGTTGACTGATAGAGATATAGTCAATTTGTATCCATCATTGAGTCAGGGTAGGGTTCATCTCTTTATACCCTTCAGGTCAACACATACTAAGAATGAAAAATTCTCACGATAAATACAGCGAATGACCTATGTACTCGAACATGACGAAGGATTAGCATGTGATTTAAAATGATGCTACCTGCTCAGTGATTAAAATTATCGCTATAACTACTACACCTCATAAAGGGAATTGGATTTGTAGAGAAATCCTTCCCAACCTTGAAGTTTGTCCTCAGAACACAATGGATAGTTACCAGAGGTAGATCACAACCTTCCCGGAAGTTGCTTCCGATGTACCACGTACCTACCAGACTTTACAGCCCGCACAAGTTTGTAAGTTAGGGTTTGGGTTTTTTTCTTTATGGATAGGCAGAATAGTTGTTGATGCCGCTTACACAAAGAAAACTCAGTGACACCACATTTCCAAACAATAAGCAACAAAGCTTCGTCCATGAGCTTTGAGACATCTTAAACCTTAATCACTCACGCAACGACTTGGTTGGTATGGTGGGATCACAGGGAGCAAGTGTTCTAGCCGATGTAACTCGACTGAATCGCTGTAAACACCAAGCCTAATTACTCACTCACTCACTGTTGCAGTCCTAAAGACGATACTACTGCGGATTGGTCAAAATGCAAATACTCTTACCAAGGCTTTTTTATTCCTTAAACTTCTCGCTTTGAAGATGACTAGACTTTCAGGTATATAGAGGGTTAAACAGAAGTGATTGCACTTGTATGCAGGGACACAACTCAAAGATTCCGTTGGAATAATTGCTAAATGATACGTATAACTCCAATTAGACCACACATTTAAAGAAAACAAGCCGTAACTTGGCGCGTAAGACTCTCCAGTGTAATTTATAGGAACAAAGACAGTGATTTATATGGACTAAAAACCAACTGTGGGCATACTCTCGAAGCATAGATTCAATGCACACCAGCAACTAGAAAATTCGCAATTGAAAACCCATTTCACTGGATTTGTAAGTTAACTTGGAATGGACTAAAAATGTAGACAATAATTTCACTAAGTCAGCGATCGTACCATACAAAAAATAAAAACACACAAGAAGAATATTAGCAAAATATTTATCTTTGTCTACATGCTTGTATATGTAATCCATCTTCATTGGGTCAATGGGAAAGCGTATTTAAAGCAGAAATTTAATGCATGGCGCAGGCATTACCAGAAAGAAGTAGGCAGAAGTCGAAACTCATAGTTGAGGGCTAAGAAAGACAATACAGGATGCAATAAATGAGAAAAATCGAATACAAGTGACTCCGTACACGTTCCAGTTATGATAGATTTTCCTACGGAATGAGTTTTATTTAGAATAAATTAGGAACCAGATTCACATAAACATGATTAACATATAGTAAATTTCATGAACATACATCTATAAATTGAAAACTGAGATTATCAGCGTTAAAATGGTCAGATTCTACATCACATAAAGTTTAATTTAAGAGATCATTAGAAATAAAAAGAAACGATTCCAAAAGTATCAAAAATTTGAGTAACCACTTCAAGAATTTAGTTGATACATACCTATTTCGCAGTCCATATGAGACAATTGGAATCCCATGACCCAGTTGCAACACCTATGCCACTATCAGATACTGTTACACAAGAGACTCGGTTTTCGTGGGCAGACATGATTCCAACACGTTCTTCTCGTAGTAGATCCCAGACGTGACAGTTGAAGTCATCGTATCCAGCAAGTAACAGACGACCCGACTTTGAAATTGCCACACTACTACTACCACAGTTAATGAAGTCATCAATATAGACACCAATTGCCTGATCAGCTCGTAGATCCCACAAATGACACGAGCCATCGTCGGAAGAGGAGGCGAAAGCATAAGAATTGACGGGGAAAAAGTCAACACCATTAACATCTTGCTGGTGTCCTTCGAAGTACTGCATACCTTCGCCGCACCGAAGATCCCACAACCGACAAGTGCGGTCTGAAGATGCAGAAACAAACAAATTTGGCATCTGCTTCGAAACGGCAATGGCGTTAACATCATTTGAGTGTCCACGAAAACTTGTAGTGATTTTAGACTTTTCGATATCCCACAGTGCACAAGTTTTATCACCAGAACAACTCAGTAATCGATTATCATCAATGAATCGAACACATGCGATGTAACCATTATGACCAGTAAACTCGCGGACAAACTCTGCAGTGCCGTCCTGAGACTTTAAATTGAAATAAGATATGACATTATCTAATCCACCACTAGCAACAAAGTTCATAGAAGGGGAAAATGCACATCCAATGACCCAAGCTGTCTTCAAAGCAATCATATGAATTTTCTTTCCAGAAAATGTATCCCAAACGATTAATTTTCCATCCTGAGAAGCGGACAATAGTAACTGGTTGTCAGAAGCCCATTGGATAGACGTCACTTTAGCTAGATGACCTCGTAAATGTTTACGTACTTTGAACTTAATTCTACCAAGTTCAGGTACGTTCTCAGTCATTTTGTAAAAGTCTGTATCTGCAACAGCTTTCTGTGCATCAGTAATTGAAGTTTTAAGATTCAGTATTTCTGCATCCAAAGCCTTTTCCTCTTCCGATATTTCTTCATTATATACTGCAGAGGCAATAGATCCAGCTCGGTTAGGAGCTTGCGCTAAGTCTGAATTGTACGTGATTTGTTGAGCTACATCCATCACAGTAACTTTGAGGTATAGAACATATTACACAACAGGAGACAAAATATAAATCTGTAAGCCAAAATGTGTATTCAAATGCATATTATGCATTATTAGCACAAAGCTGTTACGATTCCCATCACTATCGTAAACCAGAACACGACCGATATTAATAGCAGCTAGCTGGGTGCTGTATCAACTGACTGGCTATTTTTGATGTTGTCCTTATATGTGGTAGAAAATCGATAAAAATTTTGACCAATCAGAATGAAATTATCCAAGGCGTTAGTCTGTCAAGGTTTGAAAGCTATGCTTAAATTGAGAAAATTTAGAGGTCAACATTTTCGTAACATAGACAGGTGGACAAGAGACACACATACCAATTAACTGAAAATAGAAAGGAATATAAGGAAAACGGGAAAGTGAATTAGGCAGTTTGGTTTTAAGCTTTGACTGTAATCGTAAGCCACCAGCAGTCTTAGTAACGTATTTTTGTTAAGATCATTATCTAATCCGAAATAAAATTTACTGGGACTTTGTTTTAAACCTACCAAAATCTGTGAATTCTAAGAGTGGAATATTTGCTCAGATGACTAGTATATTTCATTTAGCTCTTAGTATCGGATTACTCAAATGAGGTTAAAAAACTACAGTTTACCAAATGTCTGCGTTTCCGTGTTATTACGCACAGTAAGAATAATAGTTTATCGTAAATCAAACAAGATAGATAAAGGTCTGGTTATTCCTAATGTTAAATAAAAAGCTGACGCATTATAATTAGAATACTTATTTCCAATACTGTACGGTTTGTGAATCACCACGTTTTTCAAGCAATCTACAAAGAACTAACTTAAATCAATAAGTGTTAATGTGTTTTATCTACTTAAATAAACGGGATTTAGTACTTCGCATCAATTCCATTATTAAGATTGGATTATGGAAATTGTTCAGTTCAAAAATAGATTAAGTATGGAGTAACTCCAAATAGAAAATCGTTTTCTAGTAGTATGGGGTTTGTCGACGGTGTAAACCCACTGCATTTTCAGTGATGAAAGCCGGGAACTTCAGTTATCGAGGGAATCACGATATATCTAGATCAACAAGTCTCCATCCAGAAGTGTATATTTATAATTTCAGACAACTTAAGATATTGACAACCTTCATTCAATACTATCGGCGATGGACGTCTCTCAACTTGATCGTATTCCACTTTTCATGTCTCCTCGAAACATCCTCGAAATTCTCACTCATAGAGATCGTAGAATATATAGGGGAACAACTGATTGAAAATGAAATTGAAACTACAGTTCCTATTAATGTCGTGAAAGAGTTATTACTGAAATGCATCATGAATGTGAATTTCAAATTCAACCGAAAAATATTTAGACAAACAGATGGTGTTGCAATGGGTTCACCTCTGGGCCCAATACTAGCTGATATTTCTAGCCAAACTAGAGAACGGTTCACTAAAAAGGGTTATTCAAAAATTAAAATTTTACTGTAGATATATGAATGACACATTCATCCTGTGTAAAGATAATATATCACAGCAAGACGTTCTTAGGTAGTTTAACGAAGTGCATCCAGCCATTCTGTTTACATCGGAAGAAGAGAGTAATGGCCGAATAGTCTTTTTGGACGTTCTCTTAACTAAGAGAGCAGATGGATTGTCAAAAAGAAACATAAACAAAAAAATACTTAGACTGGGCAGTATACACATTTTCTTTAACTTTGTACCTCTACAGTACAAACAAAACTTGATCAAAAGCCTTAGTTACCGAATATGCACTATATGTTCTGCAGATATAGTTGAAGATGAGCTAAACACCTTGCATAATGCTCTGAGAGAGAACGGTTACCCGAGAAAGTTTATGATTAAATATATGATCACGAAAGTGAAAATAGGCGAAATTCAAACGGTCAAAAAGAAATCCCTGTTCATGCGCCTACAATTCAGAGGGGATGCGGCTAGCGAAATACTAACTCAGAGATTGCGCAGATCAATCCAAAAATCTTTCAGCGCCGGTGAACTACTTTTGACGTTTTCTACGCACCCAATGGTGACACCGAGGCTTAAAGATGAATTACCTAGAATGATCACCTCGTTTTGCATTTATCAGTTCGACTGCTCCTGTGGAGCAAGTTATATTGGTTGAAGCTCTTGGAATTTTCGTGCTCGCGAACACCTCCCAACGCGGCTAAGCAAAGGTTTGGTGAAGAAAGTAAACAGCTCGATATTGGTTTATTGAGTACAAACTGGCCATAGTGCTAGTATAAGCCAATCCTTTTCAACTATTTATAGGGTCAGTAATTTTTTGCCAAAGCTTGTCAGGCTTAAAGTCCTTCTTTATCTCTTCACATTCTCATTGTTATTGTGTGGCGCGTATGTATCTGGTGCCCCTTTGTACCAATATTTATGTGTTCATATAAATAAAACTAGGTTCAGGGATTTGGGATAGAGTCAAAATATATTGGTCGTTTAGAGAACAAACAACTGTTCGCGACTTATAAGAAAATTACCGATTATTATAATAAGTTTCAAGGCATGAAATTAATGTGTTGTCCAAAGTGAAATAGGTGAGTGAAGTTCATACATTTTAAGCAGTGAATCTTTATAAAATAATTAGATCTTCAGGTAGCAGGTTCTCAACTTAGTTTGTGAAGTTGAATTCAGTATCATAGTTCTTCATTTATGTACTGTATATCTAAACTACTGTACAACACATATCTACCATAAGCATTGACCTACAATTGGTAATCCTTAGGAGATTGTGAAACTAGTTATTAGTTGATGAATACATGTAACATTTTAATTAGATGACTCAGTCAAATTCTGAGTACTTGGGCAATAAATTCATTAACTAAAACGTCTAAATACTAAAATTATTTGCACTCTGAGAGAAATAAGTATCCTCCCTATGATGTCTACTGAACCTAACAATTAGTCATCACACGTCTAGAACCTTCTGACAAGGGCCGATAGGTAAAAAAAAAAACAAATGTTTCAGTGATGAGTTGCACTTTTCAGCCAATTCAGTTAATTTATAGATTTTGTAAATTACATGCACACATTTGACTATAGATTAAGTAGCGCTAACTACTGATAGCTTAATACATTCAAATTCATTTGTTGACCAGACTTCTAGAATGATATACGTCTCATTGTTATTTTTTATTTCGTTATAATCAGTGGTGTATTCAACGGTTGGTGAACGAATAAATATTCATCTACAGTCTTGTCTTTCTTACGTAGGCATATCATTCTTGCTTCACTGTTTGAAGCAGCAGCTTTGCCGCAATCATAACAAACAACGGTATCCATCATCTTATCAAGTCATTACAAATACCAGGTTAAATTGAAAATAAATGAAGACACATAATGGGCCTCAGTTAATTCACACTCGTATTTTTGATTTAGATATTAGTGAATCAAGTGTACAGTCCTCATGATGGAAAGTGAAACTCTAACTAGTCGCATAAGATCTAGTGAGAAACACTATCCTAAATTGAATCACACATGAGTTGATAAGCGAGAATGCATTTATACATCAAACAGCACATTTCGGAAGGTAATATTTATCGTGCGACAGAGTGGAGTGATCACTTATAACACTAAAAGTCAGTAGATCGTTTTTAAGGTGTTTTAACGCTATTTTATTATCTGTGATGATAAAACTATTTGTGGACAATATTCCTAGGGAAAATCTAATTTAACTAGTAATTCTAGGGCAGAAAATCGAAAATTAAGGTTAGATCGATTATTGCCATAACCCTATTGGTCAATATGGTCACATGATAACATTTCTGAAATGAATCAAATAAGCCACTACTTTTTGTATAGGTCCATCTAACAAAGTGTTGTCGTGTCAGTGTTATCGGAAGTAAAAGGATAATAAAAACAACCAAATATCATATGTCTGCTGATCCCATGTGGTCAAATTTCAGTCAGTGGTCGAACAAAAACAACATCTGACCTAATCTTCATTTACATTTCCTAAAGTGCACAAATTTTTGTTGGTCTACCTATAAATAAATTCATTATCGTTCAACATCCCAAATGTTTGTTTTTGTACTGTGATTTAAAATGTTGTTTTGACGTTTTTTAGTAGACTGTTTGTTTCTGTTGTCTTTTATTACATGATCTTTGTAATATGGATTGAATAGAAGCAAAATTTTTCTGGCACTCTGTGACTCATATCAGTTAACTGTCTGAAGTTAATCCTCACTTCATTTAGAATCTCCTTTTACCGTTTCGTTGTTTTACACACAAAAGATGCATGAAAAGAAATTCCCCTAAACATTATTCAAAAGCAAATTGTGGGTTATTGATCACTATCAGCACTATTGTAATATTGATTAAAAATCGGGATTGTTCTTTGGCTGCTTTGTAGCCATTCATCTAAAACTGCTTCGAAATTGTGAATTGACTGTGACTAATAGCTTAAACTTCCAACCATTAATTTAGCCTCTCCATAATCCTAAATCTGTAAATTCTGAGTTATATGCAAGCTTACTTACCTACGCCTGTTACTCCCAATGGGGCATAGGCCTCCAACCAGCATTCTCCAACCCACTCTATCCTGGGCCTTCCTTTCTAGTTCTATCCAATTTTTGTTCATTTTTCTCATGTCTTTCTCCATTTCTCGGCGTAATTGTTCTTTGGTCATCGTCTTTTCCTTTGGCCTTCAGGATTCCATGTGAGGGCTTGCCTTAAGACTCAGTTGGCTGTTTCCTTACTTCAAAGCTGTTCTTTGACAGTCATTCATTTTTTAGTTGGTTCTTAAATAATTGAGGTTTATCGGTCAATTGTTGTATTATGACCGTCTTTCGTTGTTGGTCCGTCATTTCTTCACCTATGGTGGTTGCCCCTTGTTGACTTCATTACCTTTATGTGCGTGTTTATTCAATTCTGGCCGTTATTGTTTGATCATTAATTATTCCCTGATGTTCGTTTGCTGTCAGCTTTTGTTCTCATTGCTTAGTTTTTAATTGTTCAAAGTCGATTTTAGTTAGACATTTATTAGTTAGTTGTTTTTTATTGCATTTTTGTTGTATGTCATTTTTTGTTGGTGATTAAAAGGTGGATGTTGGTTTCTACACGTTAATTCCCCAATAAACAATTTTACTAAAGGTTATCGGAAAATCGAGGAAAATATTTGATGAAGCTTTAGGAAAACACACTAAACTGAACATTTCCTCAT